CAGTGGCCCTAATCCTCTTCCGTAGTCTTTTCTGTTTTCCCTTTCTGGGTTTTGTGCTTGAGTATGATCCTAAGGTTTACCAGTGCAGCTGTTTTAGCAGGGCTGCACTGACTGCTGCTGTGGCTGCTTTTGGATTTTTTCATAACCGTTGCTCTAAGATCATAGCACACCTTTAATATTTTGGTCCTATTTTATAAAAAAAAATAAATATAAGAATACCGATAAAACAATAAAAATGATTTAAAAACAAGAGGATGCACTCAAATAGAAATAAAAAGCTTAGAGCATTAAGAGAGGCTGATTTCTTTAGACGTTTCAGAGAAGATCTGTTCACATCTACGTATCGACTCATCGCCACTGACCCCAAATTAGGGAAATCGGGGGGGATTTTATTGTCAATTGGTTGGGAAAAAAAACCTAATTATTTTAAAACCATTTTACAAAAATAACAATTCCCATAGGAACAAATTTAATGCTTTTTATGGGACTTTTTAATGACTTTTTTGGTTTTAAAACATAGAAAATGCATGGATATTTATCAACAATTACATTGAAACTAAAATTTAATTTGATTTTGCTCTCTGGATTATAAAAGATCACAGACCGCTGGATTAGTATGTTGAGAGTTGAATTTGAGAAAAATCTGCTTTAAAGTTTATAATACATGAAACATTCGATTCTTATAATTGAATCAACAGAATTGCAGAATTTAAAGAAAAAAATGGGATTAAAGTAAGATTTGGACACTGGTGGATTAAATTAATCTTCCCATCATTTCCTGGTTGAAGTGAACCAAGAGAGAAAACTGATTCCTGAGGTTTCAGGCAGTAAAGTCAGAGACTTCAGAGTATTACACAGCTACAACACTACAGAGGACATCTTCTGTCAGATATGCTGATGTTCGTTAAGGATTTTCAACCACATAAAAAAATCACGGAACGTCTTTGAAGTACGCGTGCTGCATTTAATGTCGACTTTTGCAGAATAGTGCATGTTGATTAGGATCAATGGAGTTGAGTTCACAGCTCTGATGCGTTTCTGCACTTTTCTTTATATCTAAGGACCAAAATGCAAACAAAATGCTTTTGTTTGCACCAAACTAAGCGCCATAACGTGATTACATTTTAATCAGCCAACACAAGGCAACTTTTTATCTATTTATTTGCTGCAATAAATGAGCAGCTGTGGTTTAAAAGCAGCAGCTTCAGTTTTCTGTGAACATTTACAAAAATTCAGCGACAGTTTTCCTGTAGTGGTCAAATTTTTCAAATGTGTGCTAAACAGAAGTGAGGCGGTATTTATATATATATATATATATATATGCCAGGAGTTTGACAGGATGTGAAGAATATGAGATTCAGAGCTTTTTATTTACTTTATTCTTCAGAGAATAAAGTAACGTTAGAAATGTTATGAGCTGTAATATCAAAGAGTCCAATGAAAACAGAGAGCTAGCTAATGTTAGCCAAATGCTCTCTGGCTCAGACCTTATTTTGATTATAAAGGTTAAGGTACATTTTTTTTAAAAGAATTTTCTAAAATTTTGGTTATTTTTTCCTGTTGGACTGTTGAACCTTAAACTTGAACCAAACAGAGACTCTAGTAATGAAGCAAATATGAGCGGTTTTATTTCGGTTCAAAGCTAATGAGGTCACAGTGACGTCAGCACAAATAAAGCAACCCTGAATTCAATCATTAAATATATCCCGATTGCAGCGACAACAGGAATAACATTTTTCTCTGTATCTACATCAAAGTGCATCAGTTGATCTGTTCACAAGGCAGCTTCTATTTATTGTCATCCTGTAAAGTTTCATTTATCGCTGCCTAAATGCTCCCGGTTTAAGGTAGTTCAGCTGTTAAAATGCGAATGTTTTGGTTTTCTGCTTCCATGACACCAATTTCCAGGCTTAAATGGATCTTGATGCGGTTCTACGATGGAAGGCGAGATGAATGAAGAGATGATGTGTGTTTATGATTTAAAGTTTGAGGTTTTTCACTTCGCTATTAAGCTCCTTTATATGTTTTTCCTAGAAAACGGTCAGTTTGAAAATGAATCTTGAAAGGATAAATTTGGTGGGGTGGATCTGAGGGAGGGGGGGTCTAAGCTTGGATCATACTTTACCTGCTGGAGATTGTGCAGCTTGCACAGCAGCGCCCCCTGTCAGCTGAGGTTCATTTAAGTCTAGATGTAAATCAGCTTTCTTGCTCTCTGAGGGATTGGCCGCGCCCTTGTTGATCCCTCCGTTGTAGTGTTCGGTGTGGCGCAGGTCCAGGTGGCATGGCCGCTCCTGAGGAGCCGGCTCTCTGCTGTCAGAGTCCAGAGGTTTATCCGGTAGGATGTGATTGCTCTCTTCATGGGTCGGCTCCTGGATCTCGGTGATGAATACAGGCTGGTCTTCGTCGTCTCTGTTGAGCTTCGGGGCGGTCTGCGCCTCGCTCGCAGGGCGTGTGGAAGAGTCGCACTCGAAAACGTCGCAGGGGGTCAGAGCTTCGTCCTTTTGCTGAGGCGGCGTCTGGACACCTCCTTCCTCCGAGCCCAGCTCCTCACACTCGTCCACGGAGAGCAGCACTGAGCGGCGGAAGTTGGCGCCCGCCTGGAAGTCGGGCGGCTCATTGTCCTGGTCCGGACAGTCGTCATCGAAAGCCAGGTTAACGATGCCCTGGAAGTGCGGAGACGGATCCGTCGCTGGCGGCAGACCGCCACTTGGAATCACTTCAACTTCTGACTGCTCATCTTCCGTTTCCTCTTCATCCTCCTCTTCATCAGAGGAGCACGGCATGCTTCTAACGTTCTCGGGCCCGACATCAACGCGCTTCTCCTCCTCTGGAACCTCGTCTCTTTGCAGCCAGGAGCGCGGACGCTGTCTAAGCCCCTCCTCCTCGCTGGTGGTCTCCGTCTCTCTTCCGCGCAAACGCACCTCCACCCTCAGCCCGGCCCCGCCTTCATACATCTTCAGCTCCTCCGGGGTGCTGGTGTCGCTACTGCTGCGACCCAGGAAGTCGGGGCAGCGCATGGTGCGGCACTTGGACACCCCTCTGTCGTTGGAGCAGTCGTCGTCTTGCGATCCTCCGGCGTCGTAGTCCTCAGAGCGGGGCTTGATGTCATCGGAGGAAGTGGTGTGCGTGCTCTCAGACTCTGGGCTGATCTGATGATGGATTCCGCTCCAGGAGTCCTCTACGGGGGTGTCCGTACCCCCCATGCTGCTCGGGGTACCGGCAAGGCGCTCGCCATCTTTAGTGGAACTCTGCGGCCTGAAATCGTGTTCTTCTCCTCCGTTTATGTTAGCAGCGATTTCCCCGCCTTGAAAAGGCTTCATTTTGCTTTTCTCCATCTGCTCGCAATCGTCTGCTTCAGCAAAGTGGACGTGGTGGACGTTGTTGGGCGTCGGTGTGACGCTGGCATCGTCCTGGAGACCGGCTTCAGTCTTCTGCAGCTCGTTCTGCGAGCCATCGCCTCTACGGCCAGCAGGTTGACTCAGCTCTGATTTTTTACCGTTCACTGCTTCCGTTTGTTTACGCTCTGACGTTCTGGAGGCTTTTGGTGAAGCTTTTTCAGCTGATGGTTCAGTGGAGCTTCTCAGCTTCGATCCAGACTTGGCAGCTGAGGAGACTTTGGCTGTTCTGGCCTGAGATTTAGCCGAGACGCCGTTCGCCGAAATCGGTTTCTTCTTTTTAGCATCACCGGTGGTTTTATTGGCGCCTGTAGGTCTGAGCGCCTCTTCTTTCCTGGGGGAGGCTTGTTTTTTTGTGAGGCTTCCAGGCTTAGACACTAAACCAAGAAGGAAAACTAACCTTAGACACCGATTCATTTTCAAACCATTTTAACAGGCGGCCTGATCTACTCACCATCCGATGCGCCTCGTCCCTTGGTGTCTGGTTTTGCTGCTGCAGCAGACTTTTCTGCTGGACCACTCTTTGTTTTAGGTGCATCTTTTGAGCTTAATTTATTGATTGGGCTGAGGAAAGAGAGAAACAGAAAACAAACTGAATGTTTTTACAGTTAAATTAACTACAACAAACACAATCAGCCGAGTCAAACACTTTTCACTGCAGCTTCTGTTTTATTTATGGGATCTGCTGGAGAGAAAATAAATTAGGAATGAATATTTATCACCACTGGGCGACAACTGTGTTTGTTTTCCCTTCAGTCTTTAGGAAAGTTGGCCCTCTGAACAAAAACCAATTACTACATTGAAGCTGCTCCTTCCATAAAGATTCTCCTTCAATTTATCAATTTACAAGTTTATAAAAGTAAATCTTCACAGGCCTTTTAAACTGTGGAAATATGTTGGATTAAAAAAATATTGACAACCCTTTATATTTCTAATCTCTTCATTTTCTTTTGATTTTTTAAAATTATTTTTATTAATGGGCTATGCACACTTCTTAAAACTATTTGCAACTAAATCACATCCCAATATTATGAAATAAAGGAAATAAATAAAAAAATAAAAGGAGTAACCATTGGTTATATTTTACTCATTTTAGACTAATTTTTAAAATAAACTCTTAGTGTGCTTTACTAAAATTTGATCATAAGCACAAACTACTGTCTAATACAATAGAACAAAATTAAAAATATTTGATTTATAAAAATGTTCGGGAACAAAAAAGCAGAATACTTCTGGTGGAAATGTGATGAGTACTGGGTGTGGTTTAGGAATGAAAATAATATAAATAAATCATAAATGAATTTTAGAAAAATTGACTAATATTTTCAGTAGCGTTGCAAGATATATCTAACCTGACTCCTCCAGATGGATTTGCTCCGCATATCCATCTGGGAACCTTCCGTCGAAGTAATTTTGGGAAGGGGC